TTTCCCGTCTGCGGGAGAAGTGGTTGTAACTGTAATCATCATTTTATAGCGAAACTTTTTAGTTGAGTCAGACCCCGTGGTCATTATTGGTTATTTTCTCTTTTTTTAGTGTGTGTTGAATATTAGTACCATGCTAAGACGATAATCTTCTACTTTACTGTCGAAAATTTCTTAGAAAGCATCAATAAGAAATCCCTAAAGCTGCAAAATCATTTGTAAAGCTTCCACTCTTTGTAAATAATTGGTATTATTATGAACCACCGCTATTAAATTATAATAATGCCGAGTAATTATTGTCAATTTTGATATAAAATTATGAAAAAAATTTATTCAAAAAGCTTTCTCATGTCAGCCAAATTTGATGTCCATGCATTACAGCCATTGACCTACTGAACAATGTTAAAGTGAAGGCCATAATCGGCCCACAACAATCATCACAAGCCAGTTTCGTAATGAATCTTGGAGACAGAGCTCGAGTTCCTATACTTTCCTTCTCTGCAAAGAGCCCTTCTCTCTCATCCAAACAAAGCTCCTATTTCCTGCGCACTGCCTATAACGACTCCACTCAAGCAAAGGCTATAGCTTCCATTGTTAAATACTTCAATTGGAGGGAGGTGGTTCTAATTTACGTGGATGATGAGTATGGCAATGGAATTATGCCTTACCTTATAAACCAATTTCAGCACATTGATGTCAGAGTCCCCCGCAGAAGCAGCATTCCTCCGTCAGCCACTGAAAGTCAAATCCTGAAAGAGCTTAACAAGCTCAAGAATATGCAAACAAGAGTATTTGTTGTACACATGACTTGTGAACTTGGCTTGAAATTCTTCAAAATTGCCAAAGAGGAGGGAATGTTGAACGAAGGATATGTGTGGATTACAACATATGGTTTGACTGATGTGGTGAATCTGATGGGTTCATCAGCAGCTAATGTCATGCAAGGAGTTTTGGGTGTGAGGCCTCTGGTTAACATGACCAGCAAGCTTCGTGATTTCAAGCAGAGATGGAGGAAGATATTCCATGAAGAGAATCCTGAATCCAATATAAACGAACCCATAGTATTTGGTTTGTGGGCCTATGACACGGTGTGGGCATTGGCCCTGGCGGCAGAAAAGGTTAGAATGGAAAATTTCGAATTTAGAGTGGGGGATATGAAGAATAGCTCAAATGATATAGCCAGTATTGGCTCATCTTCAGTTGGACCAAAGCTTCTTTCGGCAATACAAAGCACTGAATTTGATGGCATGGCAGGGAGGTTCCGTTTAATTGATGGCCAGTTGGAGTCTCAGGATATTGAGATAGTTAACGTGGTGAAGAATGGCAGCACAAGAATAGGCTTTTGGGCTCCACCAAATAACGTCTCGGGGCGGAGAAATTCAAAAGATAAGCTTGATGTTGTCGTTTGGCCGGGGGGAAGGGAAGGAGTGCCGAAGGGGTGGGAGTGGCCCACGGCGGGGAATAAGCTCAAAATTGGTGTTCCGGTGAAGCCTGGTTTTCCTGAAGTTATTCGTGTTGAATTGGATCCCGATACTAACAAGCGCATTCCCAAAGGGTACTGCATAGATGTTTTTGATGCTGTCATGAAGAACCTCACTTATGCTCCATATGATTATGTACTTTATGAAGATGGCAATGGACAAATGAATGGGACCTATGATGATCTTGTTTACCAGGTTTATCTTCAGGTTTGTTAGGTTGACTTGAACCTACCACTTTCTCTTTATAGAAGTCAATGTTGTTTTAAAAAAATATCATTTTTTTAATCATTATATATATATAAAAAATTCAACCTTTTCATGCATATGTAAGATTGCATATTTATAAAAATTGAAGTATAGGTGTTAGAACTGTTAATACAGAAGAAATGAATGGTATGCATGTAAATCTTCCCAGTCTTCTTCTTCTCGGGGTTGTTGGAATGGAAAAGCTTTTAGGAAATGACAAAGGCTAAAAAACAACTTATGGAAGAAGCTTCACTCTTATTTAACACCTTAACTTGGCTTGATACAAACTCAAAGACTCCACCCCTATTTATACTAGTGGCACCTCCTAAATTAATGGCTAAGATTGTGCCACCACAATTACAATCCAATGGTTACAAATAATTCCACACCTACCACCCAATAATTCAACACCTACCACACCTACCACACCTACTACACAATAATTTTATACCTACCACATATTCTAGAATAAGCTTATAGAAATTAAGCTTTATTTAAACAACTAAAACAAGTTTATATTTCAACAGGCAATCGCTTTCGATGCCTATAATTTGGTTCCAAAGGTAGTACCTGATTTTGTTTCAAGTATTGAGCTTTCTAAAGGAGATGGCGGACTTGGTACTGTGCTGAAGCTTAATTTCACCAAAGGTAAACTAAACTCTTATATATCCTTACAATAATGAAATGACATAAATGGAATTCTTAGTTAATATATAAATTATTCTCCTTCATTAACTTTAGAATATTGATGTTTACTTAGATTATTTTCTTATAACTCATATTCTGTAATTCATTGTAGCTATGAAAAAGTTCAGATTTACCAAAGAGAAGATTGAGGTATTGGATCCTGAAAAGCATGTGATAAAGTACACTATCATTGAAGGAGGGCATGTTGGCTTAAAGTTGAAGTCTTATTCAATTGTCAATTGAGGTAAGACTTGAAGCAGTAAACAACTCTGAAGCTTTGGTGAAGCTCAACTTGGAGTATGACACCATAGAGAACACTCCTCTTAGCGTCGAAGAAGAAGAAGGGATCATGAAAGACATCGTTTTGATGTTAAAGGCAATTGAAGGATATCTAATTGAAAATCCAACTTCTTATGCCTAAATTATATGATTTCATGTGGGAGTGATGTTATTTTGTGTTTGTTTTTGTTTCATTGTTGTGCTAATAAGAATAAGTTACTTGTTCCTTCGAAATGATGGAGCGAGTTTATTGTGTCATTTCAAGAGAGGAGAATATGTTTCGTGTGTTTTCTACTCTTTTCTTTGTCTTCAAATGTTTGATGATGAATAAATATTGAAGTTCTCATTTATTTTCTCCATTATTTTATTTTATTTTTGGATAAATATAAATTGAATATTAAGGATTGATCTTAATTTTCTAATATTGGTAGCTGCTAACTCAAGCCATTCACATTTAATTTTTAAACATGAATTGGTGCCATGCTTATGCATTGATATCTTTGCATTTAGAGCAAGCAAGAAAAGAAAAAGTGAGATGAGAGGGGAGTCATATGAGATATGAAATATTATGTCAAGTTTTGGGCTTCATCACAAAAATATTTTCACAACATATAAAACTATATATAAGTGCTTTATAATATATTTATTATTATTTTAATTACACAAAATAGCCTAACAATCTAAATTTCATTGGACATAAATATATGTGTTGATAAAAGACCATTATATTTCAAAATGTATTAGCTAATTATTTTTTTTATTAATATAATTAAAGATAATGTAAAAGATAAATTTATTTAAGTGATATAGAAATCATTCAAAATTTTCATGTGATATTTGTCATAGAGTGATTTAATATTATTAAATTATATGGATCATTGAGAAAATTAATTTGACTTGATGTGTTGGATTGCAATCACTCAATTAGGGAAAATTATTATGTATGGTGAGCCGCTCGTCCGGACAACAGTGATGATCTGACCCCATCACCGTGCATTACGTGTGTTCGGATCCTGACATGATGACATGGGACATAATAATTTCTCCTCAAATAGTCTTTTATAATATTATTTATCAATGAGGTTATCATTCTATTCAGTCATCAATATGTTTTATTAAAATTTATTTGTAGCAAGCATAAACCACAACATAGAGCAATTCAAAGACAAATGCATGCTCATAAAAGCTCTCCTTAGAGGACAAACCAAGCTTATTTATTACCACACAACAATATCAAACACACTCTTACTGATCAGCAAAATATCAGATTTTTAAGCATAAGATCCAGGGTTGGCTGCAAGATGTGCCTCCACTGCCTTGACACTGTTGATGAAACCTTCCTTGGCCTTCTTAACATCCTCTGCAACATCAACTCCGGCGATGGCCTTATATGTTGCCGTCACCTTAACAATGGATCCATGTCCCTTTTTCTCCACCTTGATATGTGAAGTTGCAGACTCTATTTTGATGCCCAAATGTCCTCCCTCCACAACAGAGAGCTTCAGCTCCAGTTTTTCATGATCGATGAATTCAAGACGCTCCTTCACAAAACTGAAGGGTGCCCCTGCGAAAAGAAATTAAAAAAAAACAAAAGCTGATTAGCCATGAAACAGATGAAGTACTGCATATGTGTATAATAGAGAGAGCTTAAGCAAAAGGAAGAGATGAAGGTGTGTACCAGGGGTGAAGTTGATTTGCCTGATGCTCCCCGGACTACCATCTCCAGAAATTAATGTAACACCAGTTATAACTTCAGGGATGAGCTTAGGACCGAGATTATGCCAGTCAATGAATGTGGCTTTAAAGATAGCAGCTGCTGGAGCTTTGGTCTCCACCTCCACAGACCAGCTTGAACTCATCTTTCTAACTTAGTTTTTTTTTTTTTGGCTTGATTTAGCTGATTTGATGCTTTGTTTGGCTGGTGGATGTTTATGGAGTGTGGTGTGGCTGAGTTTTTATACTGGTTTAATGGCGAGATTGTTAAAAATTAGGCTTTTTACGATTTGATGTTTTCTTCAAGGGCCGGCAGCGTGATTGAATGATCCGTTGGCTAAAGTGATCTTAAGATGGAATTCTCGGGGGCTTCATTTGATTTTCTTGCTTCTAGATGAGAGCGAGTTATTAATGCTTTTGTCATGTCATTTTTTCTGTAGTTGTGAGGAGAAAATCTAGAAGGCTATGAGTGTCGATAGAGCAGGTAGGGGGATTAATATCTCCATCTTTTTTTTTTTTTTGTTCAAATACGCTACTTTTGTCGTGTCATAGTTAGCTAGGTTTCAACACATAATTATGTGGCATAGCGGCGTCCAACTTTAGTAACGAGTGTGGGGAATTTTGCCCTCTGATTCCTCGAAGGAGAAATTTTCCACAATTTGTAGAATGAACAAGCTACAAAGCTTTCTTCCATCCTACAAATCCCAAAAATTTCGGTGCCAAGTCTCTATTTTCTAGGCAACATAGCTTAGTTTTCTCTGTCTTGTGATCATTGTCATTGGTTGTTGATGACAGTGCGACAATAGATGCAGTGGTATTGAGACACTGGATCTATCTCATCTACTTGGCTTGGAATGGCTTCTTGACATTGACCCTTGACGCTAGAACTGGCGAACTGTGCTTAGGCGTTGAGCACTTTAAAAACAACCACTTCGGGGATATTCTTAAAGACAAACATGCACTAAACATGCATAATAATGCAAGAATTGTAGAAAAACACTAAATGAAGATACATATCTTTATTACATTTTCTAGGTTTTTCTCACTCAACCCCAAAGTACTACTACAAATACTAGAGACATGATTGCAGAAATGTTTTGTTAAAATTTTTGGTGGAAGATTCTACAATTATTTTGTGACTAATGTCTAGCTATTTTTTGTGAGACAAAATGCCGATTATAAGTAATAAGATTTTTGGAGAAAGATACAACAAAAATCTTATTACTTATTCGTTTATCCGATTTTGATCCAAGCTGGGGTCAGTTCAAAATTCGATCCAAAATCATGGTTGTCCCCATGCATCTATATCCCACTGTTGACCTCACTTTTGGTTGAGGTCTAGAAAACTTCTTTAGTAGCCTAGGTCTAGCCATAGGACTTTCCTATTGACTA